AGATGTTAGAATTGTGTCGATGTCCCAATATTTCTGGACCTGACTGTAGTGCTTGAAATCAGTGTTTTGCCTGTACCTGTTCTCAGACCCTGATAGAGAAGGTCCAGAGCAACGAAAATGAGAGGTGAATAAAGGAAACCTGCAAGGAACGTTGATCTTTAGTCATCAGAGTTTCTTTCCAATGGCCCACTGCTGGGAATACAGAGGGAGATTGCTCTGAGGGTGGGGTGAGTGCTTTTCCAGCATGGAAGACTGAATTTTCCAGCACTGCTGTGGAAGAGTGCAGCTTGTGTAGCTGCAAGCTATTTACATAGCTTGAATCCATATTTACAACTCAGGATTCCAGTATACCTTTGAAACAATCCCCACTTCTACACATTTATGAAAACAGCATGATTTTGACTAGTGTCATGTTCTCTAGCCTTTTTACGTTCATTTTAATTCATTTTCATGTACTGCATGTTATTTTCCTATCAAGGAAAACTTTCAGTGTGAACATATTTGTGGGGTGGAAAAGAAATCGCTATTCAAGCATTTCATTTTATATTTTTATATATATAATTTACAGAAATTAGCACACAACTTTGAACCCAACATAAGAACATGCTAGGACCGAGAGCTCTCTGTGATCTAGTGAAGAAAAGATGGCCGTGCAGATGCGGCATTATTATATTATTATATTGTCAATTGATGCACTGATTTGAGGTCTCAAACTTCCTTTTGACCTCAGGCTCTTAGTAAACATGGTTGCTGTCAGTGCCACTGCTCTGAGGGTATATAGTTAATGTTAGCAACAACAAAAGATGGGCATGTTTAGCAGAATCTAGTTTCAGTATAAGAATACCATAAGGTATAAAACTCAGATATTTTCCTAACACTAGAGCTTTGTGATGGACAACTGAAAAGGGGTAACAAAGGGCAAAATGTAGAAAAAATGATGAGGAAATGCAGATCATTTTCAGAAATATTTTGTATGAATCATCAGTCCAGAATTTTACAGGTTCATATTATGCAGAACCATAAATGTGGATTGTTCAGTTATGATCACAGCCAACACGGTTGGTTAAACGCTTCTAATTTAGTGCTATACGAATTATCAGTTATTCAATATGGCATGGTTAAGCAAATGACAATAGTGTCATAGTGTGATCCAAATCTTTGTCTATAGGCTTTGAATTATGCTTCAAATCATCTGTGCCCACTGCACAAATCAAAACAGGCAAGATGGCGCATGTAGTGTTGCGTCCATGCCCACCTCTTGTAGAGGCATGCATCTGGATACCGCTGCTTCATATCTGGCATTTAGGGATAGAAACTGAATCTTTCAACCAGTAAAAATTCAATATATTGTGATACCACCTAAGTCTCATTTTAAAAAGGTATATTTAAAATGAATGACAGTTTGGCCCTGATTTGCAAGCTAAGTTTGGAGTTACAATTTATTCTACAGTTTCTGAATTTATGTTCAGGAAGAAAGTGTAGTTTAACCAACCCATACATTTTATATAAAAGTGAATGTAAAAGGGAGAGAACATTGGGAAATGTTCAATCTTAGTCCAATTTGAACTATTTTTAGGAGACAAAATGGTTATATCTGAACTGTGCCATTATCTTTTTAGGCATGCTTTTGTTTTTTAAGGATATATCTAAAAATGCAAATACTGGATATGACCAATACATACCTTAAAAAGGTATGTGTATCAGTGAGTTGTGAAGGTTAGCCC